TAATCTGATGATATCCAGTTTGCAAATTAATTCCAGTTCTGCAGCTTCAGGTTGGAGTCTGTTTTTGAATTTTTTTGTTGAAGAATTGCCACTTTTAGGTCTGTTATTGAGTGACCAGAGAGATTGAGGGACGTAACCACATCAGCCACAGCATCCAGGGCTCGTTCACCTGCACATCTACCAATGTGATCTATGCCATCATGTGCCAGCAATGCCCCTCTGCCATGTACATTGGCCAAACCGGACAGTCTCTACACAAAAGAATAAATGGACACAAATCTGACATCAGGAATCATAACATTCAAAAACCAGTAGGAGAACATTTCAATCTCTCTGGTTTGCGGGTTGTCTGAACCTCCAGAAGACCAGGCCCCACCCTGCTTTAAGACTGTATTGTCTGCTGGTTGCCTAAGCCCCTTCAAGCCCAGGCCCCAGCCTACCTATAGACTGTTGTTTGCTGGCTGCTTGAGCCTCGCCCAGGCTGAAGCCACCGCCGAGACTGTGTTGATTATGGGCAGCCTGAGCCTCCTCAGCCCCGGCCTCAAACCCTTGATAGACTCAGTTTAAGCAATGACAGCTTGAGTCGCCCAGGTCAGGCTAACCCTTGCTGGGGACTGTGTGTCGCCCAGCTCCACTGGGGTCCCAGACTGTCCTGCGGACTCTGGTTCTGGCCAAACAGGACCGGACAGAGTGGCCTCCCTCCTCTGGGGTGAGCGAGGGTCCACTACAACTAGACAGAGCAATTTCAGGCCTTCATCTCGGAGGGTCAATTGATAGTTAAAACCTCCAGGTCCATAGCCATGGCTATGGTTACATGGAGAGCATCTTGACTCCAGTCTTCTGGTCTCCCAAGAGAGATGCAGAACACAATTGAAGACCTGCCTTTGGAATGGCCTAAGCTCTTCAGTGCTGACACACACTCCTCCCTCCATACCCTAAAGGACTCAAGGACAGCCTTACGGTCTCAGGGAATTTACATCCTTGCAACAAAAAAAGCCTCAGTACTATCCATGCCAGACTTTTCCCAGACCTTCAAACTTTCCAAGGAAGAGATCTAGACTTCAGAAAACAGGACCACTCCTCCAATAACATTATCTACACCTCCCTCTAAGAAACAGTTTTGATATCTCAGTCGAGGGCTGTAAGCAACCTACTTTCTTGGATCCTGTGCTACACGATTCCATCCATCCCTGTATGGAGACTGACTATTCCACTTCCTTCCTGCCTAGGAACAGGTTACCTAGACAAACGGATCTTGGAGGTGATCGATGTGAGCTATTCCATCCACTTCCACACTATTCCTTCTTCCCACCCCCCCTTCCCTGTCCCTCTTCAGTGACTCCTCTCATGAAGACCTCTTAAAACAAGAGGTCCAGTCTCTCCTACCTTTGAGGGCTGTTGAACCATTTCTCCCACAGTTTGTCAGAAGAGGGTTCTATCCCTAGTTCCCAGGGGCGAGAAGATGGAGACTGATTCTTGACCTCAGAAACCTGAACACCTATTTCCAGCACTTCAGGATGGTGATGCTAACCACTATAAGCCCATCCTTAGATCTGGTTCGTCACCCTTAACTTCCAAAACATCTACTTTCATGTAGCTATCCCCCCATCCCACAAATGTTTCCTGTGTTTCATAATAGGCTCAAAACAATATCAGTACCAAGTCTTTCCCTTCGGGCTTCCTACAGTGCTGGAGGTCTTTACAAAACTTCTTTCAACAGTGCCGGCCCATTTATGTCAATGGAGTCTAGCAGTATTCCCATGGCTATTTTTCATCTTTTATTTTTTCTCCCCCTCTCTTTTCTTTGTACCTCCTCTCTATCCCCACCTGTTTCCTGGCTGATTCGCTTTTTCATGTGTATCTTGGATCTGACCCAACTCCCCCTTTCCCAGAGTCAGCGGGACTATTTCCACTGCCTTCAATGAAAATTGGATCAATCCCCCGGAGATCAACAGTTGCCAGTCTCACAAGCATATAGAATGTCAGAGACTGGAGCCTGTGTGTTTCACTTTGCTGCTTCACTTGTACATGGACTAAAGCATCTGAGAACTGATCCAATGCTCCTTGGAATCTTTCCATTGACTTCAATGGGTGTTGGATCAGACTTCAAAATAGAAAGCAGGGAGCAGCTCACTCCATATTAACCTTCTTCAAACACTGACTATAATGAACATCATCCATGTAACAGCCACATTTAGTTCTGTCCCAAACAAATGTTTGTTTTCCTCTGTACTATTACTGTAAGTGTATTGACATAAAAAATGTTGAACCGTTAAAGTGAGGTTAGAGAAAACTTTCATTCACATAAAATATATCATTCTTGTATCAAGACAACCTACATTTCCTCTGCTTTTCTTTGTTGGGAACCTGATTTTGGGGTTATTGTCACATATTTGGGTCTCGGGAGCCATCACTTAGTAACAATGATTTCAAATGTAAAATCCCTAGATGGAGGGAAAGCCACACAAGTATCTTGAAGCTGCATCCTGAGGTAAATAATTTGTTGCAATGTATTTAGGAAATAATAATGCAATATTGCCCCATGGATGTATATGGCACTCTATTCACATAGGGCCAGATTCAGAGGTGAGTCTAAGGGTATGTCTATACTGCAATGTAAGCCCAGCATTCAAATTCAGGAGCAAGACTAATCCCCCCCCCCCCTCCTTCCATGATCTACACACAATTTGCGCTAATCAAGGGCTCAGACCTAGTGTCCCAGGCATAGGTGCTCAAACTAGAGATGCTGGGAGAGCTGCTGCACCCCCTGGCTTGAAGTGGTTTCCATCATATACAGTATTCACAGTTTGGTTCAATGGCTCTCAGCACCCCCATTATACAAATTGCTCCAGAACCCTTGGTCCCAGGACCCCACAGGGGTGGAGGGTCTGAAACTGAGTCAAACCCAGGGTTCAAGTCCTATTGCTTTGCAGTGTAGACGCAGCCCCACTGGACTTGTGCTCTGGGAGTCTGCCCAAAGTATTCCACCTGGTTAAGGCAGTGTTTTTCCCAGGAATTGAAATTAGAGGAGGTGTTCGAATTTACTGGGGAATGACAGCTGAGGGGTGAGACTGTGAGGGCGAAGGTGGGCTGTATGGTACCATATTAAAAACTGAAAAATACATAACTGTTTTAGATTTCTAATAAAAAATTAAAATGTATTTAATTTAAATTGACTTTTGAAAAATTAATTATAATATATTATTAAAATGTTTAGTACAGAAACTCCCCAAGACAATGACATCTCGAGATCGTGACAATACAAGATAATGACTTTGGCAAATATTGCATTTTAAAAATCTTGGCCTACTAGGAAACCTATATTTGTATAAGTTTCCCAGTTGCAAATCTAGCATTCTGGAGCAAAGTCACTAAAATGTACTAATCTAGTTGTCCCAAGAATGAGAAATTATATTAATTCCTTTTATAGATGCATAAACTTTCATGAAATTTCAATTAAAAAAGAGGAGTTAAGCTTACTATGTCTATCTGGTTGCTGTAAGTAAGTTTCGTACATTTTCGTCAGCAAAGCGATTCAGCGCTAACTTTCAGCCCCACATTTTAAACATCATAAAACACCAATAAACATAATTTGAATTTATGATGATTTACGGATGTTTATAAATCATAATTTGAAATGATTAGGTCGGTCAACATCATCAAAATGAATGCACTGATATTGTCATAACAAACACAGCTGTGTGAGGAAGCCAGTCTTAGTTCATACTTTTCAAACTTATTATGCTTTTTCTGGTACAAGTATTTTATCATATATATGCTTTTGAAGTACGTATTAATGGTTCAATTTTAATTCAAATTTCCAGCCAAGAACTAAATGGACTTTTTTTCCTACTAGAAATTTTTTAAAACAACAAGCTCTAGTTGGAAAATGACTACATTGGCCTCACTGCAAGGAAATGGGTGAGTTAGGGAGGGTGTGGAGAAATCCATAAGGGGAAATCAAGGCAGGGCGTGCCCGGAGCACCAGGCGTGGCCAATAGGGCATGCTACAGGGCAGCCATGCCCTATGACATGCACACTACCGTTGTGCAAGAGATTCTATATGATACCACCTTATAAATAATCTCTGAATTTAAGCCATGTCCTGACGCCAAGGATCTTACTTTAATTTGGAAGGCTCAAATGCAGAAAGATAAGGATGAGTTATGTTACAAGTGGATAGAATTCCAGTCAACCAGTGATGAAAGACTAACTGAAAGAAGCATGGTTTGAGGGGCGACTTCAAGGAAGAGATGGTGGGTGCTTACAGCACAGGAGAAGCAAAGCTGTATTTTGTGCCCCAGATGCACAAAGATATTTAGGCTTCTAATTTCCATTTAAAATCTTTTGTAAGAATCACATCTGTTCCAGATGATGGGATTCTTACAAGCAGAGTCTTAGTATAGGAATGATTTTTTTGTCCCAGTGTTTTTGACCATTCTATGCAGTTGATTTTTAATAAATGGAGTGCACTGTACCTTTGGATCAGGTCCTGCATATTATATTTATTTTTCAGTGTGAAATGTGGACATACCTCTTAACTTATCAAAACGCCAATGAGGTGGATCCTTAGCAGGGAGATGCACTTGTTTAGGATGTGTTTTAGGGTGAATGCGTCAGGCAGCTGGTGTACGTGTAAAATCTTGTCAAATGAGCAGAGTCTAGCTAGAGTCTCTGAGACATAATAAACATGGCACCCCATGGCATTTTTATTGTGTGGCTCTTAAAGAGAGCAGAAATGCAGCTTAAAATGCAACTCTCTCCCCATCACCAAGGGACCTGCTACCTTATATTTGTAAATTAACTTCTCTTGGATTTTTGTGTAATATCTTATTTAGATTGTCCCACTTCTCCCCAGCCCTGAAGCCAAGGTAGCACGGACCTGGCCTGCTCAGCGCCCTGGACCCTGCTGCAGCAGCGGGGCGGGCGGGAAGGAGTGGGAGGAGCTGGGAGGGAGAGGCCGGGGGTTGCCTCGCTTTCTTTCTCCTCCCGGGGAACGTTCCAAAAAGTATCCAGCGTTCTGAAAAAAGTAGCGAATGTTCCAAACCTGCTGCAGCCCGCCCGCCAAAACTCAGCCAGCACAGGGGGCACGGGCTGGTGTGGTCAGTGTTACTCTCTCTGCTGTTGCAGCAGCAACCGCAGCTTCCAACTGGGCAAAGGGTGGGGGCAGCTGTCTTATTTGGGTCTCATCGCAGCGACTACTTCTGTTGCAGCGGAAATTGGCTAATACTTGTTAGCCGAACCTCTCTTCTCCCAGCCACCCCCCACTCCCTGAAACATTAGCTCCTTCCCCCGTCCCCCAATTGTGCAGGCGAACCAACCGGTCAGAGACGATGCCCAATGACTCATTCAACAAGCCCTCGGCTTCTTCGGACCATCATGCCCAGGGGGGTAAGATGGGCAGCTTTGGGAAAGCCGCCGTTCTGATGGCTGCTACTACTCCTGCCGCAGGTGGAGGGGGTGCCGGGGTCTTAGCTCAAGCCACCACCGCCTCGGGAAAGAAGTCTCCCCGTCTCCCCAAGTGTGCCCGGTGCAGGAACCACGGCTACTCCTCGCCACTGAAAGGGCACAAGAGGTTCTGCATGTGGAGGGACTGTCAGTGTAAAAAGTGCAGCCTGATCGCAGAGCGGCAGCGGGTGATGGCAGCACAGGTGAGCTGGGGATAAAGGGGGGCCAGGCCTCCTCGATTGAATCAAAAAAGGGGCCAAGGGAGGTGGAATGTGTCTTTCCTAGCACCTGTCTGAAACGCAGATACGTGACAGGCACACGGAGCAACCTGCAGTGCAGAGAGAGGGCTTTAAAAGCTCTTATTTCAGGTTGTCACGTGCACAATAACAATTGCCCCACGGTTGTAGATGCTGCTAGACAGTAGTCACTAGAAAAGCTCTCGCAAGAATATACATCCTGCTCCTCAAAGCCCCTTTTCCCTCAAATCTTCTCGAGTGTCTCCATGTTTCCCTCTAGACGCAATAGGTTGAAGTTCTGCTTTGCGGGTGGCACATCTCTTATTACTCCAGACTGTCCGTTAAAACAGAGACTTGGGGAATTCCACCCTGCACCTACTTGCAGCCTCTGATTATTTGCCGTTATATGGTTTCCATCTCACACAACTACTAAAATACATTTTTGATAACAAATACATTTCATAAAACCCTTAAAACCTGCCTAGAGGCCTGCTAAGGTTTTATTCATCTAAATTATGGGCATCATGTCATTCCCTTCTGATGTTTTGGATAGTGTCCATAAAAGCATATGTGCGATCTGTCCTCATGCCTGTTTCACCGGTTTCTGTATTTATAAACTGCTCAGAGTAGGTTTTGAAAACGAACTTCCAAAGACATTAAATAAGTGCCCACAGATATTTGCTTAAGGCTACCATTGTAGTTTGACCGAGAATTGCTAACTTTGTAAGTAGAGTTGAATAGCTGCATTTCACAGATGTGAAGATAATAATACATACCAGGTTTTCTAGATGAATGGAAATAAATACAAATCGGGTTTTACAAAGCTAGAGTTTAAGGCATGCTTGTTTTTCCCTTTTGCAATCAACAACCTAAACCTGTAACCTAAATCTACACCAGAAAAAGAAAAAATCTTCTGAAGAGCAGGTGGATCTGTTTGAGTTAAGGATAAAGTGACACTGGAGCCATGAAACATTTTTTTATTTTTTTTGTTAGAATTGGCAAAGAAACTGAAACAGAAACATTTTTAAAACAGATTCTTATCACACAGTGTTTTTTTCCTGTTAACAAATGACCACATATTTTCTCATCAGTTTGATATGTATAATTAATTTACCTTAGGTAAGGAAATAATTATTTGTCTTCAAACTGTAAAATATTGATCTAAGTGGATGGAAGCATCTGAACTCATTAAAGGAACATAAAAGGACCACATATTTTACTCACTCCTGATAGAGACATAGATTCAAGATTTGGGAATTTAACCTGTGTTGATTGCAGAAGCTGATCCAATATGATATTTTTATGAAATGTAATTGGGTTTCTTACATCTACTATCATGCATATTTTGTTTAATCCTCTAACCAATGTAATGAATCAAAGAGTAAAACATGAGTCTCTTAATAGGAAAACAATGACCTCAAGAAAAAAAAAGAATTTCTTTAAATTTTGGAATTACAGTATGCAAAAGGAAAGAACAAAATGATTGGATTATTTTTAATCTGAATAAAATGCTTTACTTTGCTGCTATCGCCAGAAAATGTGGTCTTGAAGAGCATCCTATATTGAGTAAATGAAAGCTTTTCTTTATAATTTGTTATGACATTTTGACACTTGACTTACAACAGTATTCAAAAATGGTCTTAGTAAGTAGCGGTTAACTAATCTAGCAGATTTTTAATAATTTGTTAATGTATTTCCACTGCAAAAATAAAACATGTTTATAAACTTTAAATTCTATTAAGACATTCAAGATGCAAGATTTCCAATGACAGTTTTTAATGATGCAGTTTCTATTGTAAAATACAACTTCACTTACCCTACATGGATATTTTTTGAAAAATCTTCTTCATGTAAGATCAGCTAGTTTTCATATTTTTGTAGGTAACTGTTTAAGTTAATTATCTTAAAAATAATTGGGGGTCTGATCAACTCAATGAATGGTGGAAGCAGGATTGAGTTGTAGTTTTCCAGTTTGATGTGCTTATTTTTTTCTGATGTTTTCTATGTTTTTAGGTATACTATGGTTCATTTCTAAGAGTAAAAAATGTTTTTAGTAGTGTTTTAAAAACATGTTTCCCTTGAATTATCTGTTTAAAAAATATTGGCCATTCAAAGTTGTATGCTTTTGAGTTGCGCTGGTTTTAAACTTAAACTGGAAACTAATTATTGGTGCTGGAACTGGGGGGTGCTACCGCACCCTCTGGCTTGAAGAGGTTTCCATTATATACAGGATTTACAGTTTGGTTCAATGCTTCTCAGCACCCCCACTATAAAAATTTTTCCAGCACCACTGAAACTAATAATAGCTAATAGTCCAAGTTTGGTCCAATCCTGCATGGGAGTAACTTTACCCACTTAAGTAGTCCCATTGAAATCTCAACAGAGAGTCCTGTGGCACCTTTAAGACTAACATGTATTGGAGCATAAGCTTTCGTGGGTGAATGCCCACTTCGTTGGATTACATGCATCCGACGAAGTGGGCATTCACCCACGAAAGCTTATGCTCCAATACATCTGTTAGTCTTAAAGGTGCCACAGGACTCTCCGTTGCTTTTTACAGATCCAGCCTAACACGGCTACCCCTCTGATAATTGAAATCTCAGTTATACATGTAAATGTTTGCAGGATTGGATCCATATGAATCCAATTCTGCAAACCCATGCTTATTTGAGTAATTCTGTGTGTATAAGGGCTTCTTGGACGAGAAAGATTATGTGGCTTTGAGGTGCAACAGCCTGTCTTGCATTCTTTACTTGTGCAATTTTACTAGAATAAATTCTTTGCAGTCGTTAGGCGTACTTATGTGAGTAAAGGTTGCAGGATTGAAACCTATGGATTTAATTCTGCAAGTGGTTTTCTCTAAGAACTTCCAGAATCCACATTAACTATAATTCCCTTGCTCTGTGACTGAAGTGTGTGGCTGGTTGACATATTTTTAAAACCTTGCAGTGCTGGGGTCAAGTTCCATCCCAGTCCCTGTTCCTGGACTGGGTTATGTACTCCCATTTTCCCCAAATATTGTTGTTTTTAGGAGGTCTTACTTAGAATAATACTACACTACTTATTTTGGAAAAATTATAGGTGCTTTTTTATCTCCGTGAACATAATACACAGAGATCCTGTTGTGACACCCTGTGAAAAAGAACCATTTGAAATTGTAAAAGTATCAGATTCTGTACAGATTGTTCTCATGCTGCTAGGTAGCTTCCACAATATGATTAACTCCTCTCTGCACATAGGCCCACCCAGATGCCCAAAGGTATTTAAGCTCCTGAGTTTCATCCTACCACCCCCTGTGGATCTGGACCCTAGACTTCATTGTGCCTTATTTGGGACTGCTGTCCTTACCTAACCCAGAGCTTCCTGGAAGTGCTGAATGTTCACACACATCATTTCAGTTGAAATTTTTTTTTATATAGCAGTTAAGATCCTAAAATCTTCACTTACCACTCTGAATATATTTTGCAATGACCCATTTCCAGCAGGTGGAATCTTCTAGCACCATTCAGCTGATAGGTTGCTGTTAGATTTTGCAAATGAAATTCCAAGAGCTTTTGTTGGAATATGTTTTTGTTACAAGAACCATTATTAAAAATGCTGCTTTTGGGGGTACAGCATCATTTCAAAAGTAAAGAAAAATAATACTGTTCAATGTAGTATTGAGGGAAGCAAACGGTCTAGGTAAATTATACTGTGACATCTCAAAAACTGTGCCCAAAAAAATCAGTTGTCACCTCTTGTAAGTTTGAGGGTGATTTTCAAAATACAAATGAAAATATGGACCAAACTGCCACCTATATGGGAAATCACAGCATAGGGGATTATAAACTCTGATTCCATGTCTGTGCTAGCCAAATGACTTGTTAGTGACAATGGGTGTTAGCTGTGGGTGCAGCTAACCACTGTTTTGCTGCCACTGCAGACAAGGAGAAATGGTGTTGAGAACTGCAGCACAGTGGTTTTCCCCCAAGGGTACACATACCCCTGGTTGTATGCAGAGGTCTTCCAGGGGGTACATCAATTCATCTAGATATTTACCTACTTTTACAACAGGCTACAGAAAAAGCTCTAGTACAAACTAAAATTTCATACAGACAATGACTTGTTTATACTGCTCTATATACTACACACGAAATGTAAGTACAATATTTATATGCCAGTGGATTTATTTTATAATTCTATGATAAAAATGAGGAAAATCAGCAATTTTTCAGGAATAGTGTGCTGTGCCACTTTTGTATTTTTATGTCTGATTTTGTAAGCAAGTAGTTTTTAAGTGAGGTGAACCTTGGGGTATGCAAGACTAATCAGACTCCAGAAAGTGGTCTGGAAAGGTTGAGAGCCACTGCTGTAGCAGGATGTGTGGATGACCTCTCTTTCTGAAGTGGTGCTGAACATGGTTTGTTTGTGCCTACACTTGTAAAAGCTATTTTTGGTGCTGGTTGTGACATTTGTGGTCCGCAACAGGTTATTTTGCTCATGAAGACAAGGCTATAGTTTGCTAGCTCAGAATTTCCTCTGATTGTATGTGTTGGTAGGATTGCTGTAGAATGAAGGGGAAGTTCAGGCCACAGAACCCAAGGGTCTGGGGTTCATTTGTACTGGAGGCATTTGTGTCTTGTTCTACGGTCCCCAGGGCAGCCATATTCCCATGGGCTTTGTGATTGCTCTTGCCCTGCTTTCCTCCTGCCTGCCATGAAAATTTGCCTGAGGGTTTCTGGGGCAGCGGCCTGCAGGGCAACCCAAGAGCACTACTCCTCTAGGCACTGGCTTCCATGGATCTCCTGAGATCTTCAGACTTGCCAGCTCTTGTGGGGCCAGAGCCCCACCCTGATGAAAAGCTGCAACAGCTACTCTGCAAGTGAGAGCTTTCAGAATTTCCTGCCCTGCTGAGGCTATGTACTAGCACAGGAGATTATCTGTCCCCTTTGCTCAGATCCACAGCAAGTAGAAATAAAATAACAGCCACATATCTTTGAAAAATATTCTTCCTGTCTTTGCCCGAGCATGACCGTATCAGCTGAATGCAGCTGACCCTGGCTAGAATCTTTGATGAGAATGATGTGATTTTAGCCAGTACTAAGAATTTAATTCCTGTGCCCCTGCTGGAAACAGAAGATATATTTGTTTATGGCTGTACCATTTTACAAGAGTGTGTTGTGTTACCTGTGTAACCTAACTGAAGTTTGCATGGCTATAAATGAAGGTAAATGTTGTCCCGTATTGTTTCATAGCATCTCTTTCCTCTATACCACTCAGAATGTTATTTCCCCCTTTCATGTCCTGATATTAATAGTCATGAGTTGTTGGAATATGTTGTATGCCCTTAGTTTGGGACCAGTGGATAATTTCCCTTGTAATTGTAATAATTGTCTAACTAGAGAGTAGACACAGAATAGTTGTTCTTGTTTCCAGGTTGCATTGAGAAGGCAGCAGGCCCAAGAAGAAGAGCTGGGGATCAGCCATCCCATCCCTCTGCCCAGTGCCCCAGAGCTCTTTGTTAAGAAGGAAAACAATGGTGGCAGCTCCTGTTTATTGTTGGAAAGCAGCAGCCCAACACATTCAACAAACACAGCAACTACAGCATCCACCACCCCATCAGGTAAGGGAGTGGGGAGAAGGGGGGGGGGTTCTGGTCACTCTGATGAAGAGAGCTGGTTTCAGAGAGATGCTGGCTTTTGTTTTCCATGCTTGTTACAGCTGCAGCGACAGGGCTGCTGTGTGTTTCCTTCTCTTTTCTTTCCCACAGAGCAACATTGCTGTAGAAAGAAGTCTGACAGAAAAGGTGTGTGTGGGGGGAAGGGGAATAAGCAATTTTTCATATTTCTTTCTTTTAAAAAAAAATGTGGAAATCAAAATGGAAAATTTCAGAAACCATCAGCCAGCTCTTCTGCTGTATATATGTGTAGGTGTGAAACAAGTCTGCAGATTTAATGCTATCATTTCCATTCATATCTGGGATTTAAAAGAGTTCTGTCAACGCCAGTGTGGCTGAAAATGAAGCCACTTGGGCCACATCCACCGCTGATGTAAATCATCATAGTTCCCTTGGCGTCAGTGGAGCAACGCTGATTTACACCAGCTGAGGGTCTGATGCTTTGTCTTTACAAAACCTCACATAATTAGAAATACCAATTGGTTATAAACAAAAGTGAAACCAGCTTCACTGACTTCCATTGTCCCAACTGAGAGAGATGAAAAAGCAAATGAACACAGTGAGAAGGAACCTGGATTTTTGTTTAGGTTTAGTAACCAAGGAGATGTTAGTAACATAGGTAAAGCAATTTGTTAAAAATATGTTTGTGAAATGGACGTTGTTCCACTAACTAACTAAAGATCAGTGTGCTTCTATATGTCAGCCAGTCAGCACCATTGCCTGCTCCAGTACATTTAGAGCTTAGTTCCTGCACCTGCCAAATGGAATTGCTATATCCCGCGTTGACCAGGCAAGCCCTCTGGGTCCAATCCCTGTACGCACAGAATGGCAGTTCCATGATTTTCGTGTGTTATGAGGGCATTGTTTTGGGTTGTGTTTAGAAAAATTGTTTGTTGGAATTAACAAGTTAGATTCTGTTTTCATTCAGACAATTCTTTTAAGATCATCTTTGGTTGACCACGAGCCCTTTCATAAAAAGAAATATATTTGGAACACTGGGTTTTGTTTGTGGTGGGGAAGGCTGGTTAAGGATTAAAACAGCTTGTAAAATCACTTACAGAGATTGTGGTTAATTCAGACAAAAGAGGGGAAAAACTTACTCTAATAAATCAAAAAATGAGATCAAGTTGCAATCAGTGAAACGTTCAGAAACTTCAGGCCCAATGGATATAGAATGCAGTATTTAACCTACTACAATAAAAAATGTGCATTCAACACCCTTGGCAATATTATAAAAATACACAGATGCATAAAAAGATCCTAGGAGAACTTTATGCTGGACTAAAAAAATGTAAAGTGTAAATATTGCCAATTTCAAAATCTTTAGAAATGTTTTTAAAATTTTAGTAAAGGATTAATTAATTATAAACATCTTTCAGCCCACTGTTTTTTTTAGTGGAGTGTCTTTGTCAGTGTGTCAGATAATGATGTTCTTCAACCTAATAGCTCCATGTTCTTCTTTAGCAGTTTAATAAATAGCACAATGTAGGCAGTAGCATTGATAATATTGTGCTTAGACCTTTCCAAAGTAGATGCATTTCCAACAAAGGACAAAGTAGGGGTCAGCATTCGTTTGCCAGAAATGAATTCAGAAATCATGTACAGCATCTGGGAATGAAAACTTGGGCTGAGATTTTCAAAAATAGGAGCCTATGTCCATATTTAGGCACCTAAATAAGGCCCCGATCCTATAAACACTGACACATATCCATAACTTCAAGCACATGCATAGTCACATTAATGAACTCCTGGCCCAGTTGAAGTAATTGGGAGTTCTGCCATTGAGTGCAGTGACGTACTGTTTTCACCATTGACTTTGATGTGAGTACTTGTGTCCTTCAAGTTAAGGACATGCATAAATATTTGCAGGATTGAAGCCCGAGTGGCCTGATTTTCAGCACTGTGCACCTGGCTACTCCTACAGAAGTTGCTGTTCAGCACCTTTGGAAATTAGGCTTCTTAGCTGTCCAAATAGAGATGTATGCACCTAACTTGGTCTTTAGCTCTGGATAGAGTCCCTCAGTTATATTACATCTGTGCATGTTTTCCTCCCTAGATGCAAGTACCGAGAAGCACAGGTATATATGTCTATATTAATATATATAGATTAAACTTCTTTTGCAGGGGATCTTTATATGGTTAAGATGACGCCAGCCCTAGTATGAGAGCTGCAGAGAATCTTCCCCTTTGCAATCTAGGGTGCTTTCAGGTATCCTGCACTTGTGTTTAATCTGTTTAATATTACTCTCAAGCGAGAATTTAATAAGTCACCTGATTTGGAGACAAAATGAGTGGATTGCGTGTTAATGGAATAAGGGGACAATGGGGGCGTGGAAAAGCAAGACAAAGGGGGCAGCGGTAATGAAAAACTCCACTTTTAAAAATAAAGAGTCTAGGAATCCAATTCCGGTGACCAACCATATCATGAAAGACCCAAAGCCTTCAAACATGCCATGTGAATGAAATGTAATGATGGCTCATGGTGAAGCTGGTATGTACTTGGGTGGCCACACTCCTATTTTTAGTGCACTAGCTTGCGGAGAACTAGCATGTCTGTCCACCCACACTGGGAAGCTCCGTTCCAGCTGCGGTGTAGACATACCCTTAGAAAGGTAGCAGGCCCTGCCTCACTCTCATGGAAAGGAACTGCAGGGGTTGAATAGGGCTGGTTCACAGTAGCCTGGCGAGTGGGCCCTATTTTGGAGGTGGTGATGTTGTGCCCCAGAGTCTAAACTTTCACTGAAAATAAAAATGAAGTCTTTAGCTCTGACAGTTGAAAAGATAACCTTCCAAATATGAACGGAATATAATTGATGGAGCGGTGCCTGCCTGAGTCTGCAGGCAGCCTGAGCTCTGAATTCTGAACTGCTCCTCTTCATCTCCTTGGTGTTAGGGAGAGAGAGTGCAGGATGACCCTTCCCCAAGGAATGTGGGGGGAGGAGAGGAGGTTGGTCAAAGAAGGGAGCAGAGACAGAGGAGATGGCCCAACACAGCACTGCATACAGCCCTTCCCCGAAGACAAAAGCCCTGTTAGTGCCCCACTGTGCTAGATCCTGTACAAACGCATAGTAAAAGTTAGTCCCTGGCCACTCTATATAGATGAGACAGACAAAGAATGGAAGGGGCAACAGAGACACAGAGTGGGGAAGTGACTTGCCCAAGGAAAGGTCATACTGTAGGTCAGTGTCAGAGCTAGGGTTAGAAGCCAGGTTGGCTGAATGCAGTCCTGTGCCCTCTCCACTGGATCATGCTGCCTGACCTTTCACAGGGCCTTGTTTATATGTAGATGCAGCTCTTTGGAAAACAACCATCTACAGTAGTAGTCAATGCTGACTGAGTCAAACCGTGCCCTGAGCTGGAGGCAGACTGCTTTCATTGACAACCAGGAGAACGACGCAGACACCCAGGAGGACTCCTGTGAGGACAAAACTCGCTCTAACATTAGTATATAGTACATAGGAGGTCATAGTGACAATAGTTAATTCTATTCCTTATGCAAGCTGTTGGCTTTAAAGGCTTAGTAATTTTTCTTTTGAACTTCATCACACTGCACATAGTTTGTGTGTGAAGGAGTCACACAAATCATATAGGGTGCCAGGGAGAGAGGGACTTTCCTCATTGTATCTATTTTACTGGCAGGTCAGAAATATTATGACACCTTGAGAAACCAGAGAGAATTTTTCAGACCTTTGCAACACGCCATTTTTGGAAAAGAGGAAAAATGAGGTGTACTGGTGCTAGAACAGCAACTTGCCCATGTACTGTTTCATTCTTGGTGACAGTGTTTAGATTGAAAGGTGCGTCTTATCTTCCAGAATCAGAAAGAAAATAACCATGGGAGTTTGCAGGACAGTTGGCAGGAGTAGCATGGGAGCAAATGAAACAATTTGGACAGGACACATAATGAGATCTGCTTACAGAAGTTCTGTGTTACTGAGCGATTTTCCTGAAAAAGTATCATCTGGTTTAACTGTAGTACACAGATGTTGTAATGCTTAGTAAAAAGCCAGGATTTGGAAGCATTTAGAGCAACAGTGAGTTCCTCGTGTTTTGTTTTGTTAATTTAACGTAGTAGGCAAAATTCAGAGATGAGTTACTCTTAGTGGAGACTTAGCTGATGTGATTGTACCTTTCAAATAGCCTTTCTTATAGTCCCAGAGTCTACGATCCCCACAAATGTGATGTCCTTGCACTTCTTTGGTTTACATCAGAAATGTAGAGCCATGAAATGGAGGTTGCAGAGGGAGCCACTCACATGAAAGGAAGGAATCTCACAGCATTTTCATGGAAGAAATGTAATAATTTGTGCCCTCATTTGGGGGTTTTGTCACACATTATGCCTTGGCAAGTTGGGAGGTATGGGCGTAACATACACATTGAGGTGACCAGAAGATGCTGTAGGATACTTCAACTTTCTGGGTCTCCCCCATGTGTATGCAATTGAGACTCCCCCCCAAGATTTAGCATACTAAAGCTCGCACCCACTTATCACCAGGCAGCTTTACACATTGTGAGCTTCTCCTCCCTTTTAGGTTTCCTACAACCTTAATCAGGGCATCATTTCTTTGCCTCCATAATGACACTTGTTCTGATCAAGTTAAATGTACCATTATTAGCACTTAGTAATCCATTTCCAGTGTCGACCGCACCTAGCTCAGTGGTCCCCAGTCCTGATTAGGGGCATCTGGGTGCCACTCAGATACAAATATTTAATAGTACTACAGTTTCATTTCAGATAGAATATAGGTTTAACAAAATCTGTAATCTGGCCAGTATATAGGAGAAAAGATCCAGATGAAATACAGAACCGACACTTTGTTAATGTCACTGGACTAAAAAAATTGAAGGTTTAGTTCATTGTTATTTTTCCTTTTGATACATTTATCATGAATAATGGAAACAAAGGTGTTTTCTTCATATTTCACTTGGTATGATCTCCCTTTATT